GTAGCAGCAGTAGCAGCAGCAGCAGTAGTGAGAATAACTAGATAAAGTAACTCTGCTCTAACCAAAACTTTCACACTAAGTATTTGCAGCATAATCTTTTGCAATTCCTCAGAGCACATGTAAATCATCAGACATGTTCTTGGTTGCCATTCTGATGCTTACAATGTGAATCAGTAAAACGTGAATGCTAGAATTACTAGTGGCATGTTATTGTGTTCCGAGATAATCCATCCCAGATGTGACATGAAAAAAACACAAACCTGAACCCTAATTAACTGTGTGGTTCAATCTACTATCTGATTGGTCCCAGCATGGTATTGATTTCTTTCACAGGTCAATGTGAATTCAAAGTCTTCACTCTTGTCAGATTTGCACATACCTCATACTAATAAGCGTTTTATTAGACATTACTATTTATAGTGAAAAGTGAAGAATATAGACTGACCTTTTACATACAGAGTCTTGATAATTGGGTCTAACTTGGGCGTTTTTTCAAAATATTTGGTATCTACCCTGATAGTCACCCACAACTTATGGCTTCCTTCTTTATCATATGCATGGACAATTGTTGTGTTTTTCCTGCGTCTCACCAAAGTACCATTGCCAAATTTCCAGTCAATAGATACCCCAGTTATCACCTCAAATGGATCCTTAAATTTCACCTCAAATGTAACTGGACTGTTCTTGGCTACTGCATTTGCATGACCAGACGGAAGCTTAGGTCCAGTAGAACTCTTAATTTCCAAATAGGGTGTAATATTGGCTAAAACGAACAAAACACACATTATTTTGAGATTTCACATCAAACATCATAATTTTAGTATTTACAAGTGTGAGTGAAATAAAAGGATGAGAATGATGATATTATGGACTCTCTGAAGATAAAAAGTAAATGATAAAGTCTGGATACAAGTCAAGTGGGTCTCTACGTTGGAGCTCTTCCCGGTTTCTGTAGCATGAAGTGACTAGGAGTATTTCTACTCCGCCCTGGATGGGATGTTACCCACAGCATTAAGTTTGCCAGTACCCATTTATATACCTGGGTGGAGAGAGGCACTGTGAGAGTGAAGTGTCTTGCCCAAGAACACAACACAATGTCCCCGGCCAGGGCTCGAACCCGGACCGCTCGATCCGGAGACGAGGGCACTAACCATGAGGCCACCGCGCCTCCCATATTCGTACCTAGCGTGATGCCTTCTCTGCACAAAGTCGTATGTTAATGAGGAAAAATGTAAACAATGATATCAGCAAAGATTCGCGTATTAACATTTGTTTGTTGTTTGATAAAGTAAGAAAGTCTATAGAAACCCATTTCACTAATAATAATAATAATAATAATAATAATAATAATAATAATAATAATAATAATAATAAGGGTTCACAGAATCTAAGCCTAGAAGTTGCAGTACAATATAGGCCGTAAAGCAAAACGCAAGAATTAGGTCAGACATCTGCCATGGAGATAATGTATGAGGCCTTTTTATCAGTAGGCTACCTTAAAATATTTACATACAATTAACTGTGTAAAACATATGCAAGCAGCTGCAGAAATTTGGAGAAGAAAAATAAAAAGAACTGTATAAGAAAGAAGAGACACATATTGAAAAATGTATAATAGAATTACTAGAAGAAAAAATGACAAATATAATGTGGCCTCTATGATGATGGGTTATTTTTCGCTCCGGTGCATGAAGCGGCCTTTGCGTGCAATCAATCGCCACTTAAGGTGGCTCCATAGGGTAATCATTTATGGCGTTGCGCGCGCAAGTGTTATCGTTTTGAATGCTGTTTTTGCATTCGCTTTCACACTTAGTCCTCTCAAACTTATTACATGTAATAAGCAATGATTAAATGTGTTTTGCTATCATCTCTGTCAAAATTTTGGGATTTAGTCTTAAATTATTAATGCCCAAACAAAAGTATTTTTTACTGTTTTTATGGCTTTATTTGTGATTTTCATGAATTTCCTTCGGTGAAATCTTCCAAAATTTTTAAAATCACATCGCTTCCAGCGGGATACGAATCTTAAACACGAAAAAAGTAGGGTTTGTAAAGGCAGTTTTTTCGATATTTTCAAATTTATGTCTTTTACCGCTGCAAAAAATCTGGTCTTATACATTTCCCTGAAAAACGAGCTCCGACTAAAGTAAAATATTGTCTACCAATCTGCCAAATTTTACGGAATTTCACCGAAGGAAACGCGAGAAAATTCACTGTCAGTTTTGCTTTTTGTGCTCATGTTGACGTAATAAAATATCGAAAAACACTGACGTTTTCCTTTGAGCGCGCGCAGATTAATTCCTCAGCGCTTGTGCGATCGTAAAACTATAGGGAGCCACTTTAACAGGCTTTTTATAGCTCGCTAATGGCTTTAAAGATAAATGCTATAGTTCAAATAAAAGGCAAGCCTAAGTGTCTAGACACGCGTCACAAAACTTAATATCTTGTTGTCCTTGTAAATGGCTCCAACGTTTGCCTGATTATGGCGGTGGTTTTATTTTCAAAGGAGGATGATAAAGTTTATAATTTAAGAAGCAAGTAGAAGCTTATCGATATTACAATGCCGGCGCAAACGCGGTCGTAAACTCGTTTTTCGGGTTCAACTGCAGTGACAGCTGAGCAGCTAATTTAAAAAACGTTTCACAGCCATCTGCTGTTCATTAGAATACCTCGTGTACCATTCGTTTCGTTGTAAAACTGACATTGAATTATTTCCGGCCATTCTATTAAATTAATAGATATAACCAAAGTTGAGCTTGTTTTAAATATAATTTTTGGCTTCCCATTGCGATGTTCCGAAAAGCCTGACCGAGAATTCGAATCGGGACTTTTTTGTTATGCAAATAGCAGCTTAGAAGTTCAACCTAATTTTCATTTTTTGCAAAACAACAATATTTTTCCTAACAAAGTGAAGTACAGCTTTGTCTAAAGGTAGATAACAAGGTGGATAAAACCGAAAATTAAATTATCAAAGCAATAATATTAAAAGAAATCTGCATAAAGGGCGAACCGTTTGACTTTTGTGGGGGAGGGGTTGGGTGATTTGGTATAGGCATGACTTCTTGAATCCCTCTCACGCACTAGGATTTTTTAACTTGAGCCGTGAAAATGCATGATATTTTTTTCTCCGTGTAACATGGTTTTTTCCGCTCAATGGAGGTGAGTGAATGGTTTTTTCCGCTGTGTTCGTGTGTACGAATATTTGTTCGGTAAAAAAATATGCGTGCAGGGTATTTCTTTTCAAAGTCACCCAGTCCCTCCCCCTTGAAATTCAAATGGTCCCCCCTGATCTCTTCATAGTGAAACAAGAGAAATGTCTCTTGAGTGAAATTATTGAATAAAGAATAGTATAGAAAAACCGCATCTGTTTTGGACCTTTGTTTTCTTGACAAGAAAACAGGTGGCAATTTTTTTTTTACCATTTTTATCGGCCCAAAAAAGAAAGTGGTCAATTTAAGCAGCTTTAAACCCTTAAAGATCTTAAACCGTCTCGTCCGCGACTGAAGACTAACTTGCGCGACAATTTACGGTCAGGCTCAACATTGCTCAGTCAATTCTTGTATTAATTTCAGGTTATGCAATGGCAGAATTCTATTCAACGTACGTTGTTAACTGTGTGATCAACGCCTTGTCTTCCTGCACCGCCATCATGTTGAACATTTTAGCGATCCACGCCATGAGAAAAACTTTATCGCTGCCAAAGCCTCTGAAAGCACTGCTTCTAAGTCTGGCTGTTTCTGATCTTGCTGTTGGATTAGTGGCTCAACCTTTTAACATCGGAATTATGGTCATGCTGTTAAAAAACACGCTCCCCCCTAGTTCCACTGGCAAGTTGTATTCCTTCTTCACACATATATTTAGTTGGACCTCATTCTTTAACGTTGTGGCCATAAGTGTAGACAGGCTCTTAGCGATTCAGCTTCATCTCAGATACCAGGCACTTGTGACTCACAAGCGTGTTGTTGCAGTGGTGATCTCAATATGGGTGTTCAGTATAATTCTTTCATCTATACTGACGTTCCGTTTCATCCCAATCAACGAGATAACCCTTGTAGTTTTAGCCGTCACGATGGGTCTTTGTGTTATTTGTACAGCAATTATATATTGCAAAATATATATCACTGTGCGACGACACTCAAAAGAAATTAATGGTTTGCAAGTACCTCAGCAGGAAGAACGGAATGGGGAACGAGTAAATGCCGCGAGGCAGAGAAAATCTGCCGTCGGTACATTTTACATTTATCTTGTATTTTTAATTTGTTATCTTCCAGAGTATTGTAGGTTACTTCTTACTATTTTGTTGCTGCACAATGCAAATACCATTCCCATGGTTAGATTTTACTACTTTTCTTGGACTCTGTTGTTTCTTAATTCGTCTTTAAATCCTTTAGTTTACTGTTGGAAGATGAGAAACATTCGACGCGCTGTCATGAACATAATGCGAAGCATGTTTTCCAAGTCACAAGGAAATAACGCTACACTGAACAGCGATGAAGGCCGGACCAACAGTGTTCCACTGGCGGTTTATTCACGCTGCGACAGTTATACCGTAGATATGTGATTTTTCTCAATTAATCAATTTTTCCTTTTTTATTTCTACTGTTAGTCGGTGAATCTTGCTTGAAACCAAACTGATGTATCACGTTGTCATTTTAAGGCTGCAGTTGCAGTAAATATTTTAGTATTTTTAACTTAACGGCTAAATTGAAAGTCAGTTCAGATTTTCTTTGTACTTGCATTTACCCGCAAACCGGCCGTGCGGGGCCAAAACGGAATATGAATATTAAATACTACATTAAAATCGTTAGAGAATTAACAGAATTAACAGTCGTTTTTATAGAATACTATTCTTAATTAAGAATTTATTACAGTCGTTCAAACTCCTGCAGAAAGGCACACAAGATATGCGATTATTTGCTAATTTTGAAAACTGTCCAAACTAATTCTTAATTTGGATACTCGATGTAAACAAGTAAGTTAGAAAGTTCCGTACGCAATATAATAAATTAAAACAGGTAATACCAGAACATCGTAGATGGTAGCGAAATTCAGATTGTGAAATGTTGTACAAACTAAAATATATTCTTATTTAGCATGAAAAACCATTTTACACCTGTATAGTATACCTCATATCTACTGTTTCCATTCTAAACTATGGACCTGTCCTCACTACGTCGGAGAAATTTGAAAACATAGCATTATTTCCGCGATGGTTGGGCCTACCGTCCACACTATAATCCGTCACGAAAACGGAGCTTTTCGAAAACGCTCTTTAAACCGGAACAAATAGAAAACGCCGCTTTGCATTTTAGTATTGTGTGGACAGAAAACATCTTGAAAACGGAACTTTTCGAAAACGTTCTTTAAACCGGAACAAATAGAAAACGCCCGCTTTGCATTTAAGTAGTGTGGACAGAAAACATCTTGAAAACGGAACTTTTCGAAAATGATGACATCATAATGATCACGTGATTTCCCTGTCTGAGTTTTCCTCAAACACAAATCCAAAATGACCGGTGTTTGTTGCGTTTTCAAATGTCTTCGGCGTAGTCTGAACGGAAAACATTTGATACGTTTTCAGAGTGAAGGCACCGTTTTCAAATTTCTTCGGCGTAGAGTGGAAGGGGTTCTGTGGGTTACTGGTAACGACCGTTAACCCTACCGGTCGTTCAGCCCCCAAGCCGATTAGCCCCTAGCTGGTTAGTCCTAAACCAGAAGTCGATTATCTTCCGTTCACGCTTAATAAAATCGACAGTGTTTTCGACTTCTGGTTGGGGGCTAATCGACTTCTGGCTGGGAGCTAACCGGCTAGGGGCTAATAGACTTGGGGGCGAAACGACCGGGGGGGAAGGGAAACGAAACGACCGGATATTGATGAAGAGAAAGACAGTAAATACTCCATGATGGCCTTATTCCTAAAGTCAATCCTTCTCAATTTGTTTAGATCACTCCCGCCTTGAGAAGTCCCTGGGGAATCAGAAGTAATCAATCCTGTGATGTAAATTCTACCCGCGTGGACAGCCCAACAGGCTTTGTAAGCAGCCTCCGCGATAACATCAACGTAACGCAGGTGATCCTGAATTTTATTTGTGGGAGGACTGGTTACCAATGATATCTAAAAACGAGTTTAGAGTGATTACCTTGAGATAAAGGCTGATATGAGATTATTCCCCTATTTAATACCCTTCATTCTCTCTGCACGGATTAGCTTATTGCTCCAGTTTAATTTACTTACAATATTTCATGCTCAGCTTTGCGAAACACATCTGCTGAGGATCCCTGAAATAGATCAAACTATGACCGTTTGTAATGGCGAGCACTATAAATAAGGGGGACATTTATGTGTCTAGATTCATTTTGTTCAAAACAGAACGAGTAATCTACGGCCTGAATTTGGGAAAATGTGCCCGGCTCTAGAGCCTGCAAATGTTTTCTCTCCTAAGTTGAAATAACAGAGGAAGTTACGTTTTTCATGCATTTTCATATAATGAAGGCTACAAACGAGAGAAAGAGCGCATTTGAGCAACAGGGAACGAGTGCCCGACGAACGAATGGGAACGAGACAAGAAAACCTCTTTCCCAGGCCTTTGAAAATTTCTCTTCCAAATTCACGGGAAAAGCCCGGGAACGAGCTTGTAATGTTGCTTCTTTCAAGCTCGGCGGTTGCACCCAGAACCCCCGCTGTCTCAAGGTTTCTGTGATTTCAAAAGACTCATAAACAAAATCCAAGAGAAGATATCAAAGTTCGGTAATAAATGCTCATACCTCAGGTTTTTCGACTTCAACAAGGTCAATTGTTTCGTACCTGTCAATTTTGACTTCCAGATCCGTGTCACTCCCCTAAACGGGTCATTAAATGACTGATTGATTTCATTCATGCACCTTGATTTGCATGCATGCAGCTTTGTTTATCTGTCATACTGCTTTAACAAATTCTTCGACCGCAACTAATATCAGCTAAAATATGTAAATTTGACGTTTGGCGTCGTGATTTTCCTGCTAGGTGAATTAATGAGCAAATGTTTATATATGTGGGCTCGCTTTGGGAGGGTTTTGCAGTTACCGTTGCAAGATGTTCGCCCGAGAGCTGCGATTTGCGCTCATCGCCTTTCTTGCTTGCGTCGAGTATGTTTCAGCAGCAAGCAATTCAACTGTTATTTTGATTTGCCTGGACGGATTTCGCTGGGATTACATGGGCAAAGCGAACACGCCGAACTTAGATTTCATAGCGAAAACTGGAGTTCACGCGCCCTATGTAAAGAATGTGTTTCCAACGGTTACGATGCCGAATCTGTACACCATTGTCACCGGGCTATACCCAGAGAGTCACGGGATTATTGCAAACGAAATGTTTGATCCTGTATACCGAGCTGTGTTTAACAGCAACAATAACGAAACAAGATGGTGGGATGACGGTGAGCCAATTTGGGTCACAAATCAAAAGCATGGTTTCAAAAGCGGTACAAGTTTCTGGCCAGGCTTCGATGTCGCTATTCGAGGCTACTTTCCAAGCTTCAGTACAAACGGAACGGAGTATTCCAAGCCATTTGCTTCCAAAGCAAACCGCATGCCAGTTAAGGAGAGAATTGACACAGTTATAAAATGGCTAACCACAGACAAACCTCCAACCTTCGTAGCAATTTACTTCTTGCAGCCTGACACAATTGGTCGTGAGTACGGTCCGGACTCGCCTGAAATTGAGGCCGCTATCAAACACTTTGATAAAAATATCACTGGTTATCTCTTAGATCAGCTTCGACAGGTCGACTTGTTAGATGAAGTCAATGTTATAGTCACTTCGGATCATGGAATGACTGCATACAATACAAGTAACTTCATCAACTTTGATGACATCGTGAACGCAAGCACCTATGAAGTCTTCTCGGGGAATAAGGCGTTTTTCACCATCCAGCCGCACCCAGGAAAAGAGAGCTACGTGTACGACAGCCTCAAGGAAGCAGCGACAAAAACCAAGCTCTTCGAAGTGTACAAAAAGGAAGATGTTCCGGATGACCTACATTTCAAGTACAACAGAAGAATCGGTTCAATTGTCGGCTTACTTAAGGAGGGTTGGTATGGCCGCAGTTCGAAACTGCCACAAGGAAATTATTCGTACGGCATAATACGAGGGGAACATGGATACAGCACCACGATTAAAGACATGTACCCCTTCTTTATTGCTCGCGGACCCGCATTCAAACAGAACTTTACCACCCAGCCGTTTGAGATCATAGACATCTACCCTTTGATTTGTCACATACTTGGAATCGAGCCTGCGCCAAATAACGGCTCATTGGCTCGCGTGAAAGGGCTTTTCAAAGACAAAACGGATTCCACTAATGCGCCCACCGAAAGCACAACAGAGAAACAACGGTCTGGAAATAAAATCGTGAAAATCGCTGGTTTTGTAATTTTGGGCTTCGCAGGCCTTGTGAGTCTCGTTGCTTCAATCTTGTTAATAATTCAATGGTGCAAACGCCAAAACCGACCGAAAAAGCTCACCTGGCAGAATGAGGAGGAGGACGAAACTGCCGCCAACACGGTAAATGTCGATCATGCAGATGACTTGGCAGCGAATCAAGAGGAACCGGTCGAAAATAACGATGAAACGGTAGCCTTGCGAGGTCAAGAGATTCAAGTTTAAATCTGCGGCGACGAACACGCCCTCCAGGATCAGTTTTAAAACTACACCGTTTCGTTTCGTATTCGTTCTTTTAATGACTGGCTTAAAAGCTTTAGGGAAGGTAGCATTTGAGAGTTAAAGATCCAACTGTGTTGCGAACGAAAAAAGGTTCCCTTTGAGCTAAAGGAAGTATTTTAATTTTACAGTCGATAAATCTCTTAAAATATCTGAGAGAACGGCTTGCACCTGTTTTGCATGTTTCGGAAAGATTGAAAAAAAAAATTAAGAGTGGATGTCTCTAAAAATCAAAGAAAAATAAAAAAATCGCGGACATGGTCAAAAATTCGTTTCGTCCCATTTTTTGTCTACAGGTAGCTATAGGTACTAGCTAAAGTGAAACGAGGTTAGTTTGTGTAAATATTCATTTTGACGCGAATAAACCGTTATGAATTGCATGATCGAAAATGAGT